TGCCCCACACAGTGGCAGATGTTTTCCCTCCCAGGAATGACAAGGAGCAGGGTGACACTGGCTCCTGCCTCATGCCTCTCATGGGGTGGCATTTTCCTGAACAACAGCTGCCTCACAAATGCCCAGAGCACCTGGTGGGCTGTGGAGAAAGTGTGGGGTCATGCCCAGTGTTGTCATCACTGCTGGCTCGTCGGAGCTTGAGCCAGCCCACCGCCAGTGCCGTGAGTCCTCCCTCTGTGACAGGAGAGCTGGGCAGCCCCAGAAAATCCTCTAGCTGGGGTGGCATGGCAAGCAAGGTTAGAGGGAGCTTTGGAGAATGGCAGGGGCAACTGGTGCTGACTGCTATCACAGCCCAGCGACAGTCAGCAATGGCCTTGCTAATTTCCAGGGTGCCCCATCAGAGTCAGGTTGTCTCTGCTCACACCTGTAAGAGATATGGACTCAAGCAGCTCCGAGAAGAGCTCTGCCGGCTTCCTTGAGGCAGCAGCACGGGGATGGTTGTGGTAGGGACACCAGGGCTGTGCCACAAGGCATGGTGGTTGTGTGAGGAAGGGCTGCTCTGAGCCACCCAGCTCCTGCTGGCCGTCAGGGGCTCAGGGCTGGCTGTGGTGCACACAGATGCTCCCCTCCACGGCCTGTGTTTGGAGGAAGCAGGGACACGCGCTGCAGATCACCCCAGTGGTGTGACCTGCCTGGAAACCCACACTCAGTGGAGATGGTGTCTCAAAGCAGCCTGAAGAAGCCTCATGCACCTACCTGCCAGGTTCCACATTGCTGTACAAGGAGCCTTTGCTGTGGCCCTGGCAGTGATTGTATTACAATCCAGCCAGAAGATGCAATCACCCTTTGGCTTAATTGCATTCTGACAATAACCAGGCACAGAGGTGAGGAAAGGCTGCCTGGAAAGTGCTAGCCTGAAGTGAGGGACTGGAGCCATAAGCTTTTCAAAGCCTTAGGCAGAGTAGCCTGCAGCCTTTGAGGACAAAACCTCCACCTCCAGGCCCTTCTCAAGGCAACATTCCTCAGCTCCAAGGCAACTATGTCTCTGCTGAGCACAGTGGCCAGTGCTGCACAAGGATAGCTGGCTGCAGTCACTGGGCCACCAGTGCAGAGGAGTACCCTAGGCATGGTGAACACCCTGATGGCAGAGACAACAGAGCAGAGACATCACCTGAGACCCAAACAGCAGCTGAACTGTAGACAGAGACCCACACACAGTTGCTGAGGATCTGGCGCAGTCCCCTATGTTGCTAGCCTTGGATAAGGGCAGACATCTGCACCCTCTGCTCTGCTGAAGCACAAATACCCCTCAAGGCCTATACCAGCTGAGGCTCATCCTGCCTCCAGAAACAGTGTTGTGGCACATTTGTCTGGTGACACAGGGCTAGATCAGAGGAAAAGCTGTGTGTACCAAAGCCCCCTCTGGATTATTTTCGAAGATGAAACATGGCTGAAATTGCTGCAGGTGACTGAGCAGCCTTCACCCACCAGCCCTGAGCAGTTCCAGGATGTTCTCCAGCCAGCCAGGAAGCAGTGAAGGGGATGTGCTGAGCAAGAGCACTAGAAGAGGGCTGTGGGCAGGCAGGCAAATGTGTCAGAGCCTGCCAGGTTCTGGCATCCATTACTGGAAGCATGTCTTGACATTTATCTTGTGTGGAACAGAGACCAGACGCTGTTTCCTCACAGTGCAATGCAGATCTGAAATGCATCACATCCTCCCCCAGCCACAGACGTTTCTGTGCAGGGGAAGGGCTTGACCAGCACAAAGTCTTCTGCCTCTCAGCCAGGAGATACCCTGCCTAATCACCACCCCACAAAGAGCCCTGCTGCAGCAGAGGCCACCTGGCTTAATCCCCATGGACACTGAGGATCTTATTCTTTTTCATGCCTCAGCCTCTAGGATTGCTTGGGCTGGGTGATCTGGTGATCACTCAGCTTTCTGGTATCTTCAGGAAGACAAAACACATCCCTGCCATCTCTTTCTATTATAGCTCAAGCACAGACTATTTTGCAATCCAAAGCATGTGAGGTGTTTCAATGCTGAGCCCCAGTCAGAGAAGCCATGGGCTAGGGCTGCTTCTGAATCTGCAGCCCCCACCTAAGCCAGACTTGGGGAATGTATGCAGGTATTGTAGCTGTGCAGGTGGGCACCGTTCTCAGAAAAAGTTGCCAGCATATAACACAAACAGGCAGCAGCATGCTGAAGAGAGCACCTGAGCAGGGACATGGCCCATAGGGAGCAAAGCAAACTTGGGAAAGCACAGCTTCATTCCCAGCTCAACTATGGATCTAGGTCCAAGTTGCTCACCACCTCCTCCTCCACCTCAGTTTCTCCATATGTAACCAAGAGGGAATGAACAGACTTAGACTTCCTTTTTCTGTCTGTCAGGTGCCTCTTGTCACATTTCTCCCTCCTACTACATATTCCATGATTAACTGCAAGGCTTCTCTCCACTCTATCTCTTGCCTCCTACTCCACATTGCTACCAGCCTGTTTCTAGCCCATGAGTGCAAGAGAAGCCTGGGGCCAAGGTGTCCTGCCTCTAGGATGTGCTCAGGGCAGCACGAAAAGCCATACCCCAGCAATCCCACTTTCTCATAAAAGTCCATACTTTCCCACTCCTCCCCCCAGCTGCTTCAGCTGCTGGGTAAGGGTGCTACAAAGTGCTCTGTGGATTCTTCTTGGTCAGACAGGCAGGACTAGGGGAGATGAGGCTCCAGCCTGGTGGGCACATCTGTTGGGGCTGAATGCAGTCAGGCAGCCTGCAACTTTTCTAGGCCCCTGACCAAGTCCATTATTTTGTCATCCTAATTTGTCTTTACAGACTTTCCAGGGAACCTTGCAGACAAAATCTGGGCCACAGGTTCCACCATGCACAGCTGCAAAACACAGCCCTCTTAGCCATCTTTCTCCTGCTCTTGGTGCTGACTGCTCCTAGTATCACTGCAAGCCTGGTGTGTGATTTGGTACTAATTATACAGAACTTGCTTAGTACTGGCAGCTAAATTTGATGAAGCCTTACACCACAAGCTGTGAAATTCCACCTAGATATGCTGAACTTTTACCTAGTTAAGCAAAAGGAGGCCCCAGAGCTGGTTTGTGATGGAAGATAAGGAAGCAAGGAAGGCTGCTACCATCATCAGCTGACACAGCAACCTCAGAGGTGAGAGAAGGAACAGCCAGCCCACCTAGAGACAGTGAGGGGACCAAAAAGAACAGAAACACCCCAGACCCTAATTTTACTAGTTGTCAGAACAGACCTGTGAGGAGTGGGGAGCTAGATTGTAAGTCTATAATTGCCCAGGTATTTCTTTGATTGGGGTTCCTATTCAGAGGCACCCAGCTCGAGCTGCTCTACATGCCAGAAAAATAAACCACCTCAGCATACTGGAAACTCATCTTCTTCAAGCAGCAACCTAGGGCCAAGCCCTGTTGATCGTGGCATGAATCCTGGCATGTGGTGTAATTCCTTCTACAAATCCCAAGGCCTCCCAGCTAGAGAGTGTGAAGCTGAGGTTAAGGCAAGAAGTGGATCTGGAGCTACATGTGGGTGTTGCAGAAGACTCCAGCTAGTGATCCCACATAAGCATGCAACAGCTGGTACAGAAGAGTGACTAATGGGAAGAGCCTGCCCTGAGCAGCACTAACTGCCCACTCCAGCCACCTCTGAGTGGCAGATCCATGAGTTTCTGCATCTCAGTCCCCATCCACTTGACATATCTTCTGAGGAGGAGAAAAAGGGTGAGCAATTAGTCCTACAGGGCAGTCCTGGGCTGGAGACCACTGCAGGAACTTCAGCCAGATGTGGCAGCAAGGAGATGCACCTCTGGCCACCTGTGTAAGATGCAGCAGCAGAATATTTACAGGAGAGGATGCTGACTAAAAGCTAGTCCCCAGTCTGTGAGACCATAGTTAGAAGTAAGTTAAGAAAAAGCAGACAAGGCCCCAGAACACAAAGCTTACATGAAAACTTTCCCCAGGTTTCCAGATCAGGGTGTCTGCTCAAGAAGTAAGATTTCAGGCTGTTTGCTTACAAAGATGATGCATTCCCAGTGACACAATCCCCCTGTGGGATGTGTTGGAGGCACTGAGCACCTTTCCCACTTCTGAGCACCTACCTTGTGAGGGGCTGGGCTGGGCTGCTTTGCTGCAGCAGAGCTCTCTTCTTGCTCCCTGCTCAGGCTGTGCTTCTGGGGCTCTTTGCTC